GAACGTCATGCAATGATTGGAATGGGAAGGAATGGGAGTGAAGATAGACGGTCGACAACTACACCTCCACTTTGCTGATGACATTGCTCTAATAACACCAAACTTCAGCCAAGCAGTACAAATGCTGCCCAACTTCGACCGTGAGTGTGGAAAGATCGGACTATAGATGAATCTCACAAAAACAATGTTTATGAGAAACGGTCTCGTTCCTGACACTCCATTTGCTCTCAACAGAATGAACATCTCTGAATGCAGCAGTTATGTGACCTAGGTCGAGAAGTCAACGTGATGAATGACCTGGCACCTGAGTTGCGCAGGAGGAAGAGAGCAGCTTGGTACGCCTTCAAGAACATCGAAGAAATAGTTAAGAGGAAGAAGAACTTCCGGCTTCGGGCACATCTCTTCGATTCCAGTTTCAATATACTTTGTACTTATTGAGCAGTTTTGTAAATAAAGGCATTATTTTTTATTTTAGTTCTTTTAATCTGTTGTTATTGTGGGAGTGGGTTTAGACCACACTGGATAGTGTTCAAGGGTCGTTCCTGACTTCGTGGTCAGGAGTAACCCTTGGAGGTAATCATAAAACTGAATGTGGTGTTTCACATCAAACCGGGGTTGACTACATGCAAGCAAATGCCTTTAACTCCTGTAACTATCTCTCTGGTCTAATTTTATTATTTTTAAAAACAGTTCTTTGTTTTGCTCATGAATCTGAACTATACTCAGAGTTCTGAGAGGAAGGCACTCCATGTAGTGTGTCAGTTCACCAGGACATGGGAGGATCATCTTCCAGAAGGCTTCCTTAACAGGTTGTTTGATGCTATTGGCTGGGAGTGTAATGACAGGCTGTGTGTATGTGTGTGTGTGTGTGTGTTGGGGAAGTCAGAAGAGAGAGGGAAAAATCTTTCTGATTTATTATCTCCCTCTTCAGTTAATTGTGAAGCCCCTGGATCTGAGAGCAAACCTCCTAAATGAAATAACACTTGAGAGTATCTCGCCTGCGCAGCAAAGCCTGGCAAGCTACCCACGACATATTCAATATGCCAAACACAGTAACAAGTCTCAAATAAATGGAGACGTTACTGGTCCTGCTCAAGCAAATCGATGAACAACAGGAGGACAGTGACAGTGACAGTGAAATAAAACCTCTTAAATGAAATAAAGCCTCTAGTTTTCTTAAACTAGAATTTAAAAAATTGGTATAGCCATATTTTGCTGTGATTTTTTTCTTTAATAGACTTTGGTTTTTACATTTAATAAAATGTTTTTACATTTAATAAGATGGAAAGTATAGAGTTCCCATATGCTCCCTGTCTCTCCCTTTCTACCCCTCCCCTCACTCCCAGTCAACATCCTACAAGAGAATGCGACATTTGTTATAATGGATGAAGCAACATCACTCCATTTCATGGTTTGTTCACATCTGGATTCTCTCATGTTGTACATTTTACAAATTTTGATAACTATAAGTGATATGTTTCTACTGTTAATGCCAAAGAGAATGGTCTTAATTACTATAAACATCCTCTGTGCTCTGCCTATTCTCTCCTTCCTCTTTCTTTCCACTGACAACTGATCTTTTATTGTCTGCAGTTTTATCTGTTTCAGAGTAACATACAGTTTCCACATGTACTTTCGTTTTTGTCTAACAGTCACAATGCCCACATTCTAGGCAAAGGAATATAGACTTCTGTTTTTGCTTTACACCACACTCAGGAATAACTCCTGGCATTGATCTGTGGACCTGGGATTCAAACCTGGTCAGCTGCATGCAAGACAAGTAGCCTACCTACTATACCATGTCTCTGGTCCCAAGACTTTTAACTCTCAGTGGAAAATTCAAAGAATCTTGGAGCCGAGTTTTAAAATTGCAATATACTATATCTCCATAGTAGAAATTAAAAAACTGGGGTACAAGAAGATTAAGGACCTTCTCTTGGTCAAATGAGCAATAGGACTGTTTGTTTTAGATTCTACATTCCACAGTCATCCAGCTCTACATGCATTCAGCAAATATTTACTGCATATAGACCAGTGCTGATCACTCTGCTACACCCTTGAGATTAAGTTAAATAAGAGGAAGGACTGTTCCCTTTGATATACTTCGGCCAAGATATAGGTATGACAAGTATTGTACATTTTGATGAAGTTCACTAGTTTTTTAGGCATCCTAGAGAGAATCCCTGTCTCATACTGGGTGATTCAGAAAACCTTCTCATATATAGGAAGATGTGCGTTGAAACCTATAAAAAAATAAGTTAATAAAGATGGTATCAATTGATACATGTTCACTGAACGAATTTCAGTGAACATGTTCTAGAATAGCATAGGCGCAGAGAATTAAGAAAGAATAGTTTATTTAGAACTAAAAGGAGCTCAATATGAATGAAAGAGACATTACAAGAGGTTAGAGAAGATTAAGGAAAGTTGTGCTAGAACTAAGGTGTAAAGGGTGAGGTTGAAGTTAATCTAGTGAAAGTGATAATGGACATTTGGGGACCTGATGAGCAGAGGCACATACCTAGAAGCAATATACTGGGATGACTAGCAGGGTCATTATAAACAGATCCGTGCTGTTTGAGCTGCCAGGGTGGGAAGTAGGAAGTTATAAAAAAAAAAAAGAAGTGTTGGTTCTTATCTTGAATGGCTTGTCTAGAACCTTAACCTTTACACTATCTCTACATCCCTAGAACATACCTTTTTATTTGTTTTTTGATTTTGGGGCCACACCTGGTAATGCTCAGGGGTTACACCTGGCCCAGTACTCAGGAATTACTCCTGGTGAGCTCATGGGATTGTATGGGATGCTGGAGATCAAATTAGGGCCCGCTGTGTGCAAGGCAAACACCCTACCCACTATACTATCGCTCCGGCCCTAGAGCATGAATTTTCAAAATCATAGGCATTGATTTGTAACCTCTGTTGCCTGTTATAATGATTTGGGAGGCGTTTAATCACTACCAGTACTTAGGCTCCACTCTAGAATTTCTGGAAATTGGAATCTCTGGGCAACCTGGTACTGATATTTTAAAAGTGTAACTCATGATTCTGATGTGCACCTGGTATAGAGGAGGAAAAAAGAATCAAAGAGAAGAACCAGGCTGCCAGCTGAGGCTGTTAATCAATAGAGGTAGGAATACCTTGAACAACAGCTGTTCATAGTAACTTTTGAAATACTTCTTGAATTAAACGAAAGTTGATTATTTATTTTGGTGTTTGAGCCAAACCAGCTATGTTCAGGGCTCACTTCTGGCTCTGTGCTTAGGAATCACTCCTTGTAATGGAGGGTGCCAGCTACCAAATCGGGATCAGCCACTTGGAAGGCAGGCCTCCTGTACTTTCTCTCTGGTCCCTGAAAGCATTTATTTGGACCAGTTATTGTGCGGGCTGGAGTGATAGCACAGCGGTAGGGCGTTTACCTTGCACGCAGCCAACATGGCCCACCCGAGTTCGATTCCTCCGTCCCTCTCGGAGAGCCCGGCAAGCTACCGAGAGTATCTCGCCCGCACGGCAGAGCCTGGCAAGCTCCCCATGACGTATTCGATATGCCAAACACAGTAACAACAAAGTTTCCAATGGAGACGTTACTGGGCCCACTCGAGCAAATCGATGATCAACGGGAGGGCCTTTACTTTTACTTTTATTGTGTTGTGCCCAGAGAAAGGAGGATACATGTGATTTGTCTGGTTTGGAGCTCAAGCCCTTCTAATGATCAGGAGAGGAGAGTGATATACTAACGAGATAGGGGAACTATCCAGGTCTTTGTTTACGTAGTTTTTGGATGATTTCCCACTTCAGTTTTGGCAGTTCACTGCAGGGTTCCAAGGATGTAATGCTGCTTGGGATGGATGGTACAGGGATACCCATCTGATTATGCTTTGGGGCCACCAGTATCACAGCTGGCAATGCTCGGGGCCCTCCAGGGCCATCCCTGGTGATGTTTGGGAGACCATGTGGTGGTGCTGGAAATTAAACCCAGGTCAGGCACATGCTAGGCTTGTGATAGCACTTAATTAAAAAAAAAATTTTTTTTTTTTTTGCTTTTTGGGTCACACCCAGCAATGCACAGGATTTACTCCTGGCTCATGCACTCAGGAATTACTCCTGGCGATGCTCAGGGAACCATATGGGATGCTGGGAATCGAACCCGGGTCGGTCATGTGCAAGGCAAACGCCCTTTCCACTGTACTATTGCTCCAGCCCCTAATTTTTTTTAATTTCTGAAGAAATATAAAGTATTACTGATTTCAAAATAGTAGTATCTTTTAACAAAATTTAATTAGTACTCCTTATGGAAAAGTTACATATTTATATATACTGTAACTATTTATAATTATATATGTATATTACATATCTTCTGTATGAGTATATCTAGCCAAACTTGGCTAGAAGGCGCAATGAAATTATATAACAGTTTTTCAAAGAAATAATTGATTTTATTCTTTTATTTTAAAAACCTAATTGTATTTTTCAGTTTCCCCTCACAAAACTAGATATAAAAAATGAGATTCTATAATGTGAGTGATAAGTAGTCTTTAACAGTAAGTTTCTGATATTTTATATTTGAAAGGGAATACTTTCACGCTTACAAAATTTATTCTTGTTAATACCACTTAACCACTCTTTGAAACAACTAATTATTGGACTCACTCAAAATATAATCTGTAGTTAAGAGTTATTATTTTTTTTAGTGGGCTGGAGCGATAGCACAGCGGGTAGGGCGCTTGCCTTGCTCACAGCCAACATTGCCAACCCGAGTTTGATTCCTCCGCCCCTCTTGGAGAGCCCGGCAAGCTACCGAGAGTATCTCGCCCGCACGGCAGAGCCTGGCAAGCTGCCCGTGATGTATTCGATATGCCAAACACAGTAACAACAAAGTCTCCAATGGAGACGTTACTGGGCCCGCTTGAGCAAATCGACGAACAACGGGAGGACAGGACAGGACAATTTTTTTAGTAGCTAACAATTTCATACTTATTCTTTTTTTTCTGTTATTGTAGTCGATTGCATCAGCAGATATGGATTTTAACCAGCTGGAGACATTCCTGACCGCTCAAACCAAAAAGCAAGGTGGGATCACATCTGAACAAGCTGCTCTCATCTCCAAATTCTGGAGGAACCAAAAGGGAAGAATCCGAGAGAGTCTCATGAACCAGAGTTGCTGGGATAATAGGCTTCGGGGTCTGAGCTGGAGAGTGGATAACAAATCACAATCAAGGCATTCAGCTCAAATACACACACCTGTTGCCATCATGGAACTGGAATTTGGCAAAAGCGGACAGGTGAGTCCAACTTGAATCTGTTTTCCTTTGGCGTTTTCCTGTGTTTTCCATCTCCTATTAGCCATATGTTCAGATGGATTATATGTAACAGTTTTCTTTGTAGGGATAATAAGAACAAATAAACCAAGATCCTGTTTTCTAGAATCTTTATTTTGAAAAAAAAATCATCTACAAATGTGTATACTTCAAAATGTGAATTGAGTCTGAAAATTAGCTACAGGTGTGGCAGCTTCTTGGAGGAACAAAGTAGGTCACTAGGGTGGTTGGCCATTCTATTTTGATTCAATGTCAGAATTCTTGGCATTTGGTCAGAATGATAGAAATGCTAAATAAAGACTGGGAATTGAGATTAAACAATACAGAATCAAAATGTCTCACCTTATAGGTGCTTAGGTATCACAATGTATATGAAGTATATTTTATTTCTAAAGACCCTGAATATGTAATATCTATTCTAGATCCCATAAATAAATATTAATTTGTTCCTGATTATTTACAGGACAGTGCTGCTTTCCCTTGCAATTTCCACAGCCATCTTAGCAGATAATTTTAGCATCTAGATTTTTTTTTCTTTAATTCATTCAGTTTGTGCTCCAGATGATTGCCAGATCAGACTTCTAATCATACGGTGTATATCGTGGGGGCTGGAGGAAGCAACAGCTTGTAACAAGGAAAAAAAAGGCTAGCTCATGGAATTAGCTAGTAAGATTTATTTTCAGATAAATAATCAAATAAGTGCTTCTGTTCCATCTTATTATAATAGGAATTTATTTCTTCTATTAACAAGAGAATTTTTAGCTGGCATATTCTGTTGTCTCCATCTTCAATTTGTTAGGACTTTTCAGCATTTGTAGTTCCACAAATGACTTTAATTTTAATTTAAAAGTTAATTCCTTAAAGTTTTCAGGGCTGGAGCAATAGCACAGCAAATACGGTGTTTGCCTCGCATGCGGCTGACCTGGGTTCGATTCCCAGCATTCCATATGGTCCCCTGAGCACTGCTAGGAGTAAGTAATTCCTCAGTGCAAAGCCAGGAGTAACCCTTGTGCATTGCCGGGTGTGACCCAAAAAGAAAAAAAAAGTTTTCAAATATGCTGGGAAAAAAATTATTCAGTTTTTTTTTAAATTCTATTAATATTAAATAGTACAGTTGCCTTTCTTGGTTTTGACTTGTCAATTCTAAAAGTTCGTACTCTTAACTATAGTGTTCCTGATATAGGAGTTGTTTTCAGAAAAATCTGACAAAAAATAAAGATGCATAAGTATGCTTGAATTATCTAGTTTCACCGGTTAATTTGTATAGGGTGTTTGTTTTTCATTCTGGCTGTGCTGATTGTTTCATTTGTCTTTGTTCTGCTGTGTGTGATGGGGATGGTGTTTGGGCCTCAGGTTCTCAGAGGTATTCTTGTCTTTGTGCTCAGAGGTACCATATATGATGTCATTGATAAAACTAGGGTCAGTTTCAGGGGCTGGAGAGATAGTACTGCAGCAGCAGCAGTTTCATACAAGGCAAGCATCTTTTTTTTTTTTTTAAGGCAAGCATCTTAATCCCTGTACTGACTCTTCATCCCTTGAGAAAATAAAGAAAAATAATTTTTTCTTTTTTAAAAATCTTATTTCATTTTTATAAAATAGTTCACAATATTTGATTACACTTAAAATTTGAACACAAATCCCACTACCATTACACCTTTCTATCCTATCCTATCACCATATTTTTGTTGTTTCCATCCCAAACACCAACCCCTGCCCCAAAGCAGAACAAAAATAGTTCATTTTGTATTTTTTGTTATGAATAAATCACTGAAAATGCTCCAAAAAACTTTCTTTAGGGGAAAGTGTGTCAAGACGGTTGTATTTCACCCAGGGGTCTTTAAGCCTTTCTATAAGAGACTACCAGTATGTTGTTAAGGATTGAGACTTGTGTGCTTTTATATATACATATATAGAAAGAGAGATTCATAGAGAAATATACAAATATATGCCTCTCAGAGAGCCTGGCAAGCTACCAAGAATATCCTACCCACACGGGCAGAGCCTGGCAAGCTCCCCATGGTGTATTCGATATGCCAAATACAGGAATGACAACAGGTCTCATTCCCCTAACCCTGAAAGAGCCTCCAATTGTTGGGAAAAGACGAGTAAGAAGAGGTGGCTAAAATCTCAGGGCCGGGAGGAATAGAGATGTAACTGGCGCCTGCTTGAGTAATTTGACGATCAACAGGATGACAGTGATACAGTGATAGAGAGATATGGATATATATTATATATACATACCTGTAAAAATATATTTCCCTCTATGATTGGTTGCCTTCTACTTTAAAAACCCCATCAAATGTGGTGCACTACTTACTCTTGGAATATTAGTAGTGTGAGGTTTGAGATGTCCAGGGATAGATTTACTCATGGGTGAGGCTCACCCTGAGTGAGTAGATAGCAGCCACGAGCATGGTGGTGGTTGAGTTCTGGAGGTTTTCAGCTGCGGGGGTTGGGTCCCTTGACATGGGGAGGGGCCTCACCTGCCCCCTTCCAGGGCAGGGTCCTGCCTCATGGTTATGACATTGTTTTATGCTCTCTTCTGAGAGGGGACAGTGAGTCTCTGGATTGTGTCCGTTGATGAGATTATCTCAGCATGGTGGTGGCTGGTTCTGGAGGTCTTCGGCTGCCAGAGCCCTGGTCAGGGCGGGGAGGAAAACTCAACCCACTCCCCTCCAAGGGGCCCCGGCGAGGACAGCCAGGCGCGGGAGCAGGAGACTCTGCGCTGTTCTCTTCCAGGAGCTGGGTTTTATAGTCTCTGAGTCTTGGCCGTTGATGGGATTACACGGCGCCAGGGGGTCAGTTGGTGGGTGTGACCCCCACCTATTGGAATTTGGAGGATCTGGGTGGAGGATGCTCAGCCCCGATCCGAGTAGGCTTGGAGATCTCAGCACCGGGACCTGCGTGCCTTTGTTTCTCTGCCGGTACCTTCATGTGTGCGGAGAGTGGTCTCAGCATGGTGGTGGCTGGTTCTGGAGGTCTTCAGCTGCCAGAGTGTAACATACATACTGGCAGGCTACCGAATGTAATCTGCCCACACGGCAGAGTCTGGCAAACTCCCCGTGGCGTACCCAATATGCCAAATACCAGTAACAATGATGGGTCTCATTCTCCTAAAGAGCCTTGAATATGGCACTTTCTTAAAAATCTCAGGGCTAGGATGAAGGAGACGTTAGTGGGGCCTGCTCGAGGCAGTCGACGAATAACAGGATGGTTGTGATCGTGATCATCATGAGATTATCTGGCACCAGCCAGAGGTGGTTTGTGGGTGTGACTCCCGAGTTGCTGGAAATGTGGGGTGACATGGAGAGGTCACCCATTCCCAGTTCTGATGAACCCAGAGTTTTCCGTCACAGGTCCCACATACCTAGGTTTTCTGCAGATTCAGTCGTGGGTGAGACTCAGCCCGAGTATGTGGAATGTGGTTGTGAGCATGGTGGAGGTTGAGTTCTGGAGATTTTCCGCTGCCGGGGCTGGTTCCTTGGGGTGGGGAATAGAATGATTTTTTTTAAATCAGTAAATATAGATCAGTTCAAACTATTTAAAATATTTATTTGGGGGACTAGAGTAATAGTACAGCAGGTAGGGTACTTGCCTTGCATGTGGCCAACCCAAGTTCAATCCCAGCACCACATATGGTCCCCTGAGCTCCGAGGTGTAAGCCCTGATCACTAGCAGATGTAGTCCCCAAACAAACAAAATTATTTATTTACTTACTTATTGGGAACCTCCCGAGCAGTGCTCATGGGGCCCGAGGCTGGGGGTGAGGGGTAGGGAAGGGCTCATGACTCTTAAAACTCAGAGGTCCTTACACACTTCTTTAAGATGAATTGAATAGATCAAGTGGCGTAGTTCAATCTTCAGAAAAAGTGTTGAGACAGATAAGTAAATTGTTTCAGATCCAGCTCAGTTGTAATGTGAACTAAAAAGAGGACCACCCGATTAATGACTTTCTAAAAACATTGACAACAGCATTTAAGAGTTTTTGTTAGTTTCTTAGACTGTTCCTGACAGGAACACATGTTGGTTACTTAATATGATAACACACACTGATTTTTTTTTCTTTTTGGGCCACACCCACTCAGGGGTTACTTCTGGCTCTGTACTCAGGAATTACTCCAGGCAATGCTTGGGGCTGTATGCAGCTGACCCAGGTTAGATCCCTACCTGCTGTACAGGCCCCCAAGAACATTGATAATACTCAACAGTAAAAATGAAAGAACTTTTGATGCAGGAAGACGGTTGAATTTTAGAATCATTTGCTGTTTGAAATAAGCTAAATAAAAGCATTTAATTTTATTATATTGTACGATTCTGCTTAGATAATTAAATTTTGTCTTGCTTTTGTGTCACATCTTAGGACTTCCTCTTGTCTCCATGCTCAGGGATTACTCCTGGTGAAGCTCAGGGGATGATATGTGGTTTATATAAAAGTTGGGTCAGGCGGATGCAAACATTCTACCAACTATACTGTCCTCCCAGGTCTATAACATTTTTTTTAATGCAAAATCATCTATAATGATGGAAAGCAGATGTGTGGAGAGGAGTAGAGAAGGACTTCATGCAACTTTATACACATACATGTGTTAAATATATAAAATTGTATACCTAAGTATTCAGTTTATTGTACATTAGTTATACTTTAAAGTCGTATGAAAAAATGGTGATCAAATAATAGAAAATAATTGAAAATGAATTTTATTTTATTTTATTATTATTTTTTTGGGGGGTCACACCCAGCGATGCTCAGGGGTAACTCCTGGCTCTGCACTCAGGAATTACTCCTGGCGGTGCTTGGTAGACCACCTGGGATGCTGGGGATCGAACTGGGGTCAGCCACATACAAGGCAAGCGCCCTACCCGCTGTGCTATTGCTCCGGCCCCTAAAATGCATTTTAATCTATAAAATTCTTTGACTGAAATTTATAGTCTTAAATCTAAAGTTAATAAATAATAAAGATTAT